CCAGCGCATCTCCGGTTCCCGCCCCCAGGAGGAGGACACCCCTGACATGCTCCTCACCAGAAGGGGATTTAGGAGCCCCCACTATGCCCAAGGACCTGCCAGTAGCCTGAGGTCAATCTGATGGGTTCGTGGTGGGTTTGTGATGCCCTGCTGTCCCGGACAAGGGAGGCTGCAGGGTGCTCACATAGGGAGGGCAAGCAAGGGGCGATCAGGGATGGAGGATGGACGGGACCTCACGGTGCAGGGCTGAGCCTGGGCTGCCCCCAAAGCCCTCAGGGGGTCCCCATTCTTGCACACAGTTGCTGGAATCAGCTTGGGACCTGAAGTCACAGCGCCCCTTTCGCTTCAGCACAAGTGGACAGGTTTCTGGTTCTTGTCTCCAAAGGGCCCCAGGGGCCCCACCTGACTCCCACTGAGGGTCTGATATTAGGGGCCGCATGGAACAGACATAGCACATGCCTGAGTGCAGAGGGCAGATTTGGGGTGAAAGCCACAAAGCAAGATTCACAGTAGCCAGAAGGGGGCAGCAACACCAACGCCATCCACAGATGATGGAGAAACCACTTGGTCCCTGCACACATGGGAGCATCACTCAGACACCCAAAGGGATAAAGCCTTGACACTTGCTACCACGTGGATGGACCCTGAGAACACGATGCTCAGTGAGAGAAGCAGACGCAGAAGGACACGCAGAGTGATCCCACTGATGGGAAAAGTCCAGAACAGGCAGATCCACAGACACAGAGAGTGGGTTCTTGGTGTTCAGAGGCTAAGGAGATGAGGATGGTGCTAATGGGGATGGGGTTTCTTGTTGGTTTGTTCTGGAACTAGACATGCTGGCTGTCCAGCCTTGTATAAACGCTAGAAACACCAAGCTGTTGAGCAAGTGAGCTGAGTTGTATGTACAGTATGTCAACAGTAATTAACAAAAAGGGAGAGATGGATGTGGCTTGTGGATCCCAGTACACAGTGTCATCCAAACACAAGAAAGAGGCATGCTCACACCTGGGCCGGGCGGCAGCTGCAGATCAGGGTGCACCCCTCTCAGGACTTGGCCCGGAGTGGGGCGCGCACAGTGAGCGCGCTTGTTTCTGAGCCAACTGTCAACCCCAGACACTCCCCAAGGGCCCCTGGAGGGCAGGGGCCACCCCAACTCACCGGAAGGCCTTGTAGGCCGGCCGGAACCAGCACACATAGCCGCAGGGCGAGAAGAGGAGCAGCCAGAGCAGGGCCAGGCCGAAGTTAGCGCCTGAGCCACCCGCGATCCACCAGGCCAGGCAGGCAACGAGGTTGACGCCCAGGGTGGCACAGTAGACTAGAGGAGGGGAGGAGAAAGAGGGTGCTGAGTGGGACAGCCCCTACCACTGGGGTGTGGCTCCCACGAGCACAGGGACCTTGGGGCCAGAGAAGGGCCTGGGGGGCCGGGGCTCTGTGCAGCTGCCCACCTGCTCCATCCACTCCGGAGAGGAGCTCATCAGTGTGTGTACTCAGTTATGTCTGACTCTTTGCAACTCTATGGACTATAGTCTGCCAGGCTCCTCTGTCCCTGGGATTCTTCAGGCAAGAATACTGGAGTGGGTTGACATGCCCTCCTCCAGGGGCTCTTCCCAGCCCAGAACTAAACCCACATCTCCTGTAGCTTCCGCATTGGCAGGCGGGTTCTTTACCACTGAGCCATGAGAGAAGGTCGTCGGAAAGCTTTATTACTAAACCCTCAGGCTCCCACCCACCTGGGTGGTGCACCCCTCCCCCTGACTCACACAGCCACAGGCGGTAGATCCTCTTCACCAGGACCTGGTGCTCAATAGGGATTTCGTCAGAGAAGTTCTGGTAGAAGCAGGGCTTCAGGGGGATGAACTTGGGCAACGGGGGGAAGTTGTTCTCCTTTCCTGCAGGGATGGGGGGACAGAAAAAGACTCACATTGCACTCAGCTTGTAGTGGCCCTAGGGCTGTGCCCATCTGCTCCTGGGACCTGTGGATGCATCACCTCATGGGGCAGAGGGAACTTCGCCAGAGGGATTAAGCTAAGGCCCCTGAGACGGGATGATCCTGGATTCCCTGGGGAGCCCAGTGCCATCATAGGGTCCTTATAAAAGGGAAGGGGGAAGGTCAGAGGCAGAGAGACGTGAGATGCTGTGCTGTTGGCTGTGAGGATGGAGGGAGGGGCCACAAGTCAGGGATGCAGCACCTCTAGAAGCTGGAAAAGGGGGGAGCCGGTGCTCTCCGGGAGCCTCCAGAGGGACCAGCCCTGCCCACGCCTGGATTCAGCCCTGTGGTACCCATGTGGGACTCCTGACCTCAGGACTGTCAGAGAACAAATTCTATTTACTTATTTATTTATGGACTTAGTTTCTGACCGTGCCACATAGCATGGAGGATCTTAGTTCCTCCGCCTGGGATTGAACTCACGCCCTCAGCACTGAAAGCACGGAGTCCTAACCACTGGACCTCCAGGAAGTCCCAGAACAAATTTCATTTAAGTATCTGAGTCTGTGGTGATTTCTTACGACAGTCACAGGCACACATGAAGATTCAACAGCAGGGTCCACACATATCCACACTGTTGACTCCAGGGCAGGTTGTGGCACTTGGGATGTGGGAGCTCCCTGGGGTTGCTGTTACAAAGGACCACAGGCTGGGCAGCCTGATTGGACAGAGGTCTGTCTCGGCTCCGTTCTAGAGGCTGCACAATCAGATCCAGTGTCACAGGGCCACGTTTCCCCCAGATGCTCCGGGCGCCCCGGGGTTGTGAACCCGTCCCTCCAGCCTCTGCCCCATCCTCCCTGCTTCCCTGTGACTATCTCATCCATCTTAGGATGTCAGTCCCACTGTTATCTCAGGGCCGCCCTGCTCTAGCATGACTTCATCTCACAGCCATACCTGCCATTGGGTCCTCTTCCTGGAGTCTGGACTCCATGGGGTTTTTGTTTGTTTCCTTGGCCTCACTGCGCGGCTTATAAGATCCTAGTTCCCTGACCAGGGATGAACCCAGGCCCCCAGCAGTGGAAGCTCAGAGTCTTAACCACTGGACCATCAGGGAAGTCCTGGGACTTCCTGTTTTCCAACACGGAACACTTCCGTCTTACATGTCTCCAAGGCCCAGGGGCAGAGCTCGTCTCTGTATGGTCCCTCTTTAGCACCTGTGCCACCCTGGCGGGCAGTGGAAGACCTCATAGCACAGTGTAACAGAGTGCTGCCTGGAGCTGCCCACTTCAGCTCCACGTCCGGGCAATTACATGGGTGTCCCATGGGCTCCGCTGGCCGGGCCAGGTGCTCACTGTGCGGACTCGTCACCCTGTTGTCCAGTCCAGTGGCCAGAGCAACCCCGACTCCTATCCCGGGAGGAGAGCAAGGCTGTGCCCCTCCTGGGGTCACAGTGTGCCCAGCTGCCCGGGGAACTTTCCAGATGGCCCAAGAAGCCAGGACCCCCCACTGCGGGGCACGGTGGGACTCACCTGACATTTCTGCTGTGAAGACAGGGTGGGAGTGGAAGCCTGCAGCCACCTGGAGGGAGACAGGCACAGTCAGGGGGGCCCTATGGCTGCAGGGCGACCCCAACACCACCTGTGGATCCAGGGGCCACTGCAGTTACTGCCTTAACCACCAGAGCATCCACAGGGGTATCTGGGCTCTTGGCTCAAGGCCAACCCAGCCCCGCATGTGTGACCCCAGTCACCACCTCATGTCAGAGGCCCCCACCCCCACCCCGGGCAACTTGCCACTGATGTGGGGGAGGCATCTGGGTGGAGGGTCCCAGTGACCCACCACTACTACCCTCCTACCTTGTCCTTCCCCAACTCCCCCACAAAAGTGAAAGTGTTAGTCACCCAACCCTTAAACTTTCCCTTTATCCACGGATGGCTCTGCACACTTCCTATGGCCACAAAGTCTCCGAGTCACTAAAATCTGAGTCCACACTCATTGCTGTGTGACCTCAGGGAAGTTACACAACCTCTCTGGTCCATGGCTTTTGCCCCTGTGAGCTTTGCAAGGCCAAGGACCCCACTGCAACCTAACTGAAATGCCTGAAGACAGGACAGGCACCCAGCGGCCCTGCCCAGGAGGAGCCCGTGTCATGGAGCAGCCCCTCAGAGGCAGCACCACAGAGGCACCAGTTGCACAAGGACCTAGGAGGCAGACACTACCTTCTCCAGAAGTGGGCCAAGCAACATGGCCACACCTGGTACCCAACCAGCACAACTGAGCCTGAACGGCCCCCAGTGCTGGGCACTAAGCAGGTGCAGAGCCCCACATGGAGGGGATCCAAGGGAAGGATCCAATGACCAAGAGTCCTTGGGTCCACCCCCAGCCCCCAGCTCGGAGAGGGCCTCCCCCTGGGACCCGGAGCCTGGCCCAGCCCAGCCCTCCTGCCACAGGCCCCACCAGCCATCCACAGCTCCGGTTCCAGCAGACCCTCCACCTGCCCAGCCCCCATGGGCAAGGGATGGGGGCTCAAGGCATGGATGTCTCAGGGACCTGCAGCACACACATTTACTGCTCGGAGTCCCACACACCTGGGTTCCAGGGCTAACCACTCCAGGGCAGGCAGACCCCCACCGGCCCCTCCAGGGACCCTCTAGGCACCTGGGAAGGATGGGAGACTGATGCAGTCAGCAATATCCAGGCTGGTGGGCCCTCTCCCTAGGCTCTAGCCATAGCCATCCAGACTTGGGGCCCCTCCCTGCCTACACTCCACTCAGCAGCTCACCTCCTTGTGCAAATCCAGGTGTCAGAGAAAATGGCCACCCTGACCCAGGGACTCTCAGCCACCGGGGCCTCACGCCTTTGTTAACAGACACCAACCTGGTTTAAGTTGTTTATTTTCACATGTCAAAGCTGTTCCCTGACACCTGAGAAAAGGGGACCCAACGCTGGTGACCCCAGGGGCCCACCTGGGTCGGAAGGTGCCTGGCTACTCGGCCAGCTGGACCCCCACTCTGCCCAACTTTGAGGAAGACCTTGTCCAGGAAGGGGATGCCCCCCATGTGCCAGCAGAAACAGCATGAGTGTCCATGAGCTGAGACAGAGCAAAAGCCCCTGGCGATGTGAGGAAAGCCAAGGAGGGTCCGGGCTAGCGCCTATGCCTTGGAGTCCAGCCCATCGGGGTCCAGTTGGCGGCACTGGGCCTCCAGGATGCCGCGGAAGGCCTGGAAGCGGTGGTTGAGGTCAGGCCGGGCGTGCAGGCGGAAGCGGGTGCCAAGTGCGCCGTCAGGCGAGGGCGCCCCATAAAAGACACGCCGCACCCGAGAGTGGACCAGGGCCATGGCACACATGGTGCAGGGCTCGCGGGTGATGTACAGGTCGTAGCCGGTGCACACATAGGGCAGCCCATCCTCGTCCTCGTCCAGCTTGCGCACAGAGCCAGCACGGACGGCTGGCGCGAAGGAGCAGGCAGGGTGGGGCGCCAGGTTGTAGGCACCGCAGCCCTGGCCTCGCGCCACCAGGTCAATGCACACCATGGCAGCATGCAGCAGGGGGCTGCCGGTGCTGCTACAGTCGTGGCCCGTGGCCAGCACGCGGCCTGAGGCCGGATCCACCACCACCGCGCCCACGGCCCTCAAGCCCCTTGAGGCTGCCTGCTGCGCGGCCCACACGGCCCGCTCCATGTGGGCCTGCATCGCATCCCGCTCCTGGGCCGAGAAGAGGCATCCAGCCAGGGCTCGGGTCACCTGCCTGTCTTCATGAAAAGTCGTGGGCCAGTGAGTGCGCGCCTCCTCGAACTGGCTCCTGGTCAGGGGCGGTCGCACAGGCACAGGTACCAGGAAGGGCTGCCCCAGGCCACGGGTGTCCACATCCGGCTGCGGGAGGAGCTCGGCCAGCGATTGAGAGCCCCGGGCCGGGCCCGCCAGGCACAGCAGCATTTCCAGCGAGTGCGGGCGGCCCGGGTCAGGGCTAGGCCGCACCCTCTTGAGGTGAGGCTGCGCAGGCAGTGGGTGGACTGCTGACACCTCCTTGAGGAGGCGTGAGGTCTGGCTCTTGTCCAGGACGGGCGCAGCATAGGCCAGCACCAGCTCCACGGCCCCAGACTGCTGCTCTGACAGAACCGGGAGGGCTTGCCACGGCGGTTCTTGCTCGGGAGTCCTGGCCTTTGCATCTCTGTGCAGCTCCATGACGCCCAGGGCGGGGTCCATCCTCAGTGGGGCTCTGACTGTGGGAGACAGAGACCGGAGCAGGGCATCATCCTGGGCTGTAGTGGGGCCTGACGAGCTGGAGGGGTCGTCCCAGGAGCGTGCCAAGTCTGCAGGCTCGTCCCACCGAGCAAAAGGCACCAGCAGCTGTGCTCTCACTCACATTTTACTAACGCCGTGTTTGCACAGAGTTTAAACCGCCCTTGTCTGGGTTTCTTTTCTCTGCCCCCTTTTTTTACTGAGAAGTGCCATGAGCAAAAATGCACACTGGATCCCAGAAACTTAATACAAAAGAGAAAATGTAACTGTCTCGTTAAGTCTCTTTCTGTATTCCACGGACACAGAAGACTGACTCACTACACCACTTTATTCAAAGGCCTTGAGATCCTTGGATCTTCTTATCCTTGGGGGCCCTGGACCCAGTTCCCCATGGATGCCGAGGGATGGCTATGTTAACTACATGGCTGAAGTGGGAACACTCTTCATGTCTCAGGTTAAATAAACATATGATTAAGGCTAAGTTCAACTGTTTCTTTGTAGTTTCCCAAAACATGGCTTCTACACACTTCATTTCGTGTACCTGTCTCGAGTTATATTCCTACTGGTCAGGGCTGCCCTGGTTGACAGCAGAAATGGGCCACAGATGACATTCACATGGCTCCAGAGTCCAGTGCCCTAGCGGTATCTGGGATTGGACCAACCCCTCCCACCTCTTTCCCATGGACAAGGTGTGCTGAGACAGTGTCACAGTCTGGCCCTTACTGCTGCAATGCAGCCTACTCATCACTCCTCAGCCCATGGGCCCTGCAGCGGGCACAGGAGGTCCTCACCAACCACTACCAGAAAACACACAGCATGGCTAGGGGCCCCTCAGGTACCCAGGATGCCCAGGCCACGTTCAGGCCCTGAGGAGGGTCCTGGGCATGCTGGGTCTAAATCTGCTCCCAGCACACACCGTGCCCAGGGCAAAATGGCTCCCACAGCCTGGTCCAGGCCACAAAAGGTCCCACTGTCTCCCAGGCAAGACAGACACAGTCCTGTTTGTCCCTTCAAGACTGCAATCTCTGTCTGACCGAAACAAAACAAGTGACAGAGACAGGAGGCTGGCCTCGGACTGCTGCTGGTGGGGCTGCCATCCTCCAGGGAGAACAAATAAAAACCACCAGGAGGCCACCATCTGGCCCAGTGACCCCACTCCCAGGTGCACACCCAGGAGAACTGAAACAAGTCCATACATGTCCATACAGCCATCTATACACGTGTTCACAGCAGCACGACTCACAACAGCAAAAGGTGGTTGCAAGCCCATGTGTTAACTGGAAGATAAACACATAAACACCAGGTGGTCCCTCCACACATGGAAGCATCCCTCAGCCATGGAAAGGAGAGAAGCCCTGACACTCACTGCCACGTGAACGGACCCCGAGATCATGATGCTCAGTGAAAGAAGCAGACATAGGACACATGGGGCGTGATTCCACTGATGGGAAATATCCAGAACAGGCAGATCTACAGATACAGAGAGTGGGTTCCTGTTTGTCAGAGGCTGGGAGGTGGGGGGCGTGTGGGGGGTCTGCTCCTGGGGACAGGCTTCCTATTGGAAGATAGAGTGTCCTGGAACTACACAGAGGTAATGGTCACATAATACAGTAAATACACTAAAAAAGTATGCTTTATGTGGGTGATCCCCACACTATGTGAACTGTACCTCAGTAGAGCTGCTGCTCTTTGTGGCAGCGGTGGGGAAATCTGGCAGTCACCAGGGCGTGCATGCTTGCTTAGTCAATCAGTCATGTTGGACTTTTTGACCCCATGGAATGTAGCCCACCAGACTCCTCTGTCCAGGGGATTTCCCAGACAAGAATATACTAGAGTGGGTTGACACGTCCTTCTCCATGGGATCTTCCCGACCCAGGGATCGAACGGGCATCTCCTGCATTGGCAGGTGGATTCTTTACCCACTGAGCCACCAGGGTCACAGCACATCTCGAACAAGGCCCAGAGCTCGTGACTGCCGCCAGTGCTGAAACCGCTGCCTGTCTTCACTCCTGCGAATGGGCTCCCCAACTTCCCCCATGACCCAGACGGAGGCTGCGGGGCTGGTCCCTTTCCAGAGGCCAAGGGACTTGCCCAGGGCCACGTGCCTGGGAGGGCAGAGCTGCAGCCCGACGGCCAACAGCTCCCAACTCTGCCTTCTGAGCCCCGTGGAGGGGAGGGGCTTTACAGACAAGACGCAGGCTCCTCCAGGGTGACACACCCAGACTGGGAGCTGCGGCCCACCTGGGAACGGCCCCCACGCCCAGTGATTGCTTAAATGAACCCTGGGGACCTCAGCATGCCGGGAGGCTGATCTGTTCCTCTTTTCCTCCTCAAAATCACAGGTCCACCCCAGCTCTGGGCACCCCACTGCCCTACCCTGGCCGAGTGCCCTGCATGCACACCCCCACACACACACTGCCCCACACCCTCCCTGCTGCGGATTGGCTGCTCCGCCCAGCTCAGGCCCTTCCCTGGGTGTGTCTACCTCCCTCTGTCCACAACTAGGCCGCCTCCTAAAGGTTCCTGTGCTCCAATGGGGTGGAGGCCAGCCCCCTCCACAATTGTCTGTATTTATGGTTGGAGCCTCTGTGGCTGGCACCCACTGTCAGGGCCTGTGGGGAAGGTCCAGGAGACCAGGGAGCTGGGACCCCCAACAGCCAGTCCCCTCATCGGGTGACGAGGCCTGAAGCCCAGGAGGCATCAAGAACATGGGGCTTATTCAGTGAGCTGAGGCAGCCTCTGCAACCAGAGGTAAGGGCCTTATCTCACCCCTGGGTGTGTCAGGGCCCTGCCCACATTCTCCTGGCTGAGACCAGGCCTTAGGCCCAGGACAAGCTTCCCCCTCAGTAAAATGGGATCCACCACCACCCTGGCTGGGACAGAAAGTGAGAAAATCCATGAGGCTGGGCCCACCCCAGGGCACAGCTCTTCTCAGGAGCCAGTGCCCTGCGAAGGGCAGATTCCTGGAAGGCTCCTCGGAGGCAGTGACCCACAGCTGGACCTTGAAAGCAGGTGAAGCAGGGTGGGGAGCCCTGAGCAGAAGGAACACCCAGTGCTGGAGTCTTGGACTCTTGAACAGCCAAGGCAGCCGATGGCTTCAAATATGGTATCCAGAACTTGGCCCCGTGGAAGGGGGAAGGTGCATTAATGTCTGCATCTGACAAACTCCCCAACAAAGCAGGGTCCCCAGATAATATGCAGCACACCCTGCTAAGTGTGAACCCACATGAGCAGGTGATTTCTCAACATAAATGTGTCCTATGGAAGCTTTGCGATACTCTTACACTAATACATACATACATACATACATACATACATACATGTATATATATATATATATGTGTGTGTGTGTGTGCATATATTTGTTGTTAACACAAAATTCTAATTTAATGGGGCAACCTGACTGGTTATTTGCAGAACCTAACAACCCTATAAGCAGGCCTTTGTGCATGAAAAATCGATAACCATGCGCATGTGGGGTGTGGCTGACCCAAGGCCAGAATTTTAAAAGGCCTTGAAAACTCACACTTCCCTTAAGTATCAGCAAAGATTACCAATTCTTAGGCCTCCCCAAGTGGTTCAGTGGTAAACAATCCGCCTGTCAATGCAGGAGACACAGGAGATGCGGGTTTGATCCCTGCGTCGGGAAGATCTCTTAGAGAAGGAAATGGCAACCCACTCAAGTATTCTAGCCTGGGAATCCCATGGACAGAGGAAACTGAGGGCCACAATCCATGGGGTCGAAGAGTGGGACACAACTGAGAGACTGAGCGCGCCCACAAACAAGACGTACAGAAAGATTTGGGGTTTTCGCCCAAAGCGGGCAGAAAGCTGGTAACACGACAGCACGGAGATAGAAGGCTGACCAAGACCAGAGGCCTGAGCACAGCGGAAGCAGTTAGGGCACGGGGTCTCAAAACCGGATGGCAGGGGCGAGCGCACGCGCAGAAGGACGACGGGCGCCGAAACAGGGGTCCCCGAACCTGGCCGGCCCGTGCGCACGCGCACACGCGCCCCTCCCCGCGTTCGCCCGATGCGCGCGCACGAGCCCGGTCCAGTTGGGCCCCCTCGCTCCCCGCGCGGCCGGCGCCCCTCCGCAGGCGCGCCCCCTGCCTCCGCCCTCCTCGCCCTCCACGGGAGCCTGGGTCGTAAAAGCCCGAGACCCCGGGGCCGTGTGCTTACCTGAGGAGACGGGCGGAAGCGCTGCGCTTCACCAAGTCTTAGCAACCAGCCCGCCTGCTCCGCCTCCGCCACCGCCTGGAGCCTCGGGGCACGACGGGAGCGTAGTTCCAGGGGCGGAGTCGGCGCGAGGCGGAGGCGAGGCCGGGACTACAATCCCCACAAGACCGCGCGCACCACCGACTCATACCTCCCCTTTCTTGAGCGCGGCTGCTGTGACCCGCAGGATAGTCAGGCGAGCTCTGAGTTAAGGGTTCGAGACCCAGCACGGCGGCAGGAAAAGTTGGACCCTGCGAGCCTTTTGGGAAATCAGCAGAGTGAAGAACCTGAGGCAGAGGGGTTCAGGCCACGTGCTGCAGTCACTCCCAGAGTGCAGTTTGCTGCTGCCACGTGGCTCCAGAGATCCTGACCCCACAGACTCGGTTAAGGTCGGCTTCCAGTTCTAGTCTGGGACCCCAGCCGACCCCGGCCTTATTTTATCGTCTCTGCAGTAGACGAAGAGGATCTGTTGACGCTCCCAGGCAAAACTTTATAATTTTATGAGAAAATCCAGTTATTCGTTCTAGTTAGAGATTAAAACCAGAGAGTCTCAGCCAGGGGCAGTTTGCCCCTCCACTCCCAGGCGTGGTTACGTGGTGGCTACTCTGGGGGTGAGGGTGGGGGTCCTCGCATCAAAGCCTAGGATGTCGCTGAACAAGTGAAAGTGGCTCAGTCGTGTCCGATTCTTCGCGACCCCATGGGCAATACAGTCAGTGGAATTCTCCAAGCCAGAATACTACAGAAGCTCTTCCCTTCTCCAGGGGATTTTCCTGACCCAGGAATCAAACCGGGGTCTCCGGCATTGCAGGCGGATTCTTTACCAATTGAGCTATCAGGGAAGCCTTACAATGCATAGGATGCCCCGAAATCAGCCTCCCCAATTGTCCACAATGCAGGCTTTGGAAGACCTTGGTTTAACCCCAGTGCTAAACAAGGAGAAAGATTTAGGTATTAAAAAAAGGATCCTAAAGAGGGGAATTTTCAATCTTTCCATTTTTTTCCCTGCTCCCCTCCTTCAAAAACCAAGGAATCAAAAAACAAACAAGGAATCCTCTGGCAAGATACGTCCAATGTCTGGAAGCTGGTGGCTGGAGGAGAGAACCCTCCTCCTGGAGTCCCCGCTGCTCCCCAGTTCCACAACCCTACAGGGCCCTGAGTCCATCCTCTGTGTTTCTCCTCTTAATTTGCAAAGCATCGCCTGGTGTCCCGCTCTATTCCTGCGTGAAACAGCATGGGGAGAAGCCATTCTACTTGAAGCTAGTCACTCTCTCTTTTTCTTTTCTCAATTAAAATTTAGATTGATGTGTGCTTTTAACTTAAACAAACAAACAAAAAGATGTCGTTCCATCCCTGGATGGCCCACTCAAGCTAGCCAAAAGTTCCTGTCTAGCTTTTTTTTGGCCACAACAGGCAGCTTGTGGGATCTTAGTTCCCCAACCAGGGACTGAACCTGGACCAATGGCAGTAAAAGCGGGAGTCCTAACCAGTGAACCTAGGGAATTCCCTGCTGATTTTTTAAAATTGCTCTTTAATTAGTAAGTCAGTAAAAGCAGTGCCTAGATTTTTTGCATCTAAAAAGTGGATTTCTTCAACCTATTTTTCTTCATGTTTTAAATTTCTCAAAATGCAAAAATACACAAATAGGGGTGTAAAATGGTGCAGCTGCTATGCAAAACATTGTGACAGTTCTTCAAAAAGTTAAACATGGACTTATCCCCAAATACAGCAATTCCATGTCTGAGTATAGACAGAAAAGAGTAGAAAGCAGGGACTTGAATGGGTACTTGCACAGCCATGTTCGTAGTAGCATTATCCACAATAGGCAAAGGATGGAAACAGCTCAAATGTCCATCATCAGATGAATAGATGAACGCAATGTGGTCCATCTAATGGAATATTATTCAGCCACGAAAAGGATGGAGATTCTGACGCCTGCTATAACATGGCTGAACCTTGAGGACATGAGGCTCAGTGAGAGAAGCAGACAGAAGGACACACACTGTCTAATTCCACTCACGGGAAGTCCCTGGAGGAGTCAAATGCAGAGAGACAGGAAGTAGATGATGGGGCCAGGGTCTGGGAGTGGGATGAGAAGTGCCTGCTAATGGGTATGAGGTTTCCTTTTGGGGTGATAAAGATGTTTCACAATTAGAGACTACCCTGGTGGTCCAGTGGCTAAGACACTATACTTGCAGTACCAAGGGCCAACAGTTTGATTCCTGGTTGGGGAACTGGGATCACACATACTGTGTGTGGTATGACCAAGAAAATTTTAAAAAATGAAGATGTTCCACAATTAGAGTTGACAGTTATACACATTATGGATGTACCTTCTCTACCACCAAATTGTACCAAATTGCTGAGTTTTTTGTTGTGTGAAATTCTCCTAAAAACAAGAACAACATAAAAGAGAGGAAAAGAAATGGTCCTTGACTTCCTACCTCCTCCTGCCTTCTTTTCCTTGCAGGACAAAGACAGACAAGATTTCTGCAGTCCTCTCTCCACAGCCTGACAGTTGCTGGCTGGCCCCCACCCACCTGTCTGCCTTCAGGGTCCCCCTGTCCACAGTGATTGGTTTGAGGAATGATCTTGTGACTCAAGTTGGACCAATGAGAGTCAGGCGGGAGGCTGTCAGAAATATTAATATAAGCAGAGTCACTCATGGTTCCTTAGGGTGAAAGCCTGGATCTGCCAGGAGTTATCTTTTGCTACCCCACAGCTGATCTTGTCTAGGATGAAGCCAAAACAGAGGAGGGCAGATCCTAGAGAAAAAGAGAAGTCCATGCCTTTAACAACATTGTTTAAGCACCTTGATCCAGCCATACCTAATCAGGACACCCTTGGTCTTTCCTGTGGATTTGGTTTGGGTTTGTGTGGGTTTGTATGTGAGGAACTTTTTAATTTATTTTTATTCTTATTGGAATATAGTTGCTTTACAATGTTGTGCTAGTTTCTACTGTTACAGCAAAGTGAATCAACTGTACACATACATATACCCCCTCTTTTTTATATTTCCTCCCCTTTTAGGTCACCGTAGAGCATCAAGTTGCTTGTGCTATACAATAGGTTCTCATTAGTTATGTATTTTATATATAGTATCGATAATGTATATATGTCAATCTCAACCTCCCAATTCACCCCACTCCCCACCTTCCCCCTTGGTATCCATACATTTCCTTTCTTTCTTTTTTTTTTCTTTCTTTCTTTTTTTTTGAGTCATACTTCAGGCTTTTGAAAATCAAGAGTTTCAGCTCCTAGTGTTCCTTTTGTTTTGACATGGTCCTTCATCCGGCACATCCGACAAGTAATGTGACCATCAAAACTCACAGTGGCAGGTTAGTGTCCAGCACTGAAAAGTAGCAGAACCATGGAATCGGTTCCCAAACTGTAAGCTTAGCAGCAGCAGATTGCACCCTGGAGTTAGAAGCCTGGGTCAGCTGCCAGTCATTAGCCTTTCTCCCCTGCAGGGCAGGCAGTCGACAAATGTGTCCTGGGGGGAGAGAGGCTTCCCTCCAAGCCACCCTATCTCCATGGGGCTGGGGCCAAAGTCAACATTTCTGGTGCCAAGTTGTGTGGCTTGTGTGTATCTGGCTCTTTATCCTGTTGACTTTCTGAGGTTGCTATGGGCATCTGTATGGGACCCAGGTGCTTCCCGCCTCTGTGGGGATCTTCCTGGAGATGGACTGTGGGGGCTGCCTTCAGCTCCCCAGGGAAGGCAGATTAAAGCTTCGAGAGCCTGGAGGGAAAGTTGCCAGCCCGTGCTTCCCAGGAATTACAGGACACTCAACAAGTGAATCCTTACCTAGTTACCCAGGTTCCAAGAGGGCTCCGTGACTATCACTCACACACACACAAGATCAGCCACCAGCCATCTGTTGTTAATAGCTAAGTCATGTCCAACTCTTTGGGACCCCCATGAACTGCAGCACACCAGGTTTCCCTGTCCTTCACTATCTCCCAGAGTTTGCTCAAACTCATGTCCATTGAGTCAGTGATGCCCTCCAACCATCTCATTGTTTGTCTCCCCTTTCTCCTCCTGCCCTCAATCTTTCCCAGCATCAGGGTCTTTTCCATTGAGTCGGCTCTTCACATCAGGTGGCCAAAGTATTGCAGCTTCAGCTTCAGCAACAGTACTTCCAATGAATATTCAGGGTTGATTTCCCTTAGGATTGATTGGTTTGATCTCTTTGCAGTCCAAGGGACTGTCAAGAGGCTTCTCCGGCACCACAATTCAAAAGCATCAATTCTTCACCACTCTGTCTCCTTTATGGTTCAACTCATAGCCGTATATGACTACTGGAAAAACCATAGCTTTGACGCCAGCCATCTGTCATCTGGCAATTTCCCAAGCCCGGAAAACATTAGTTTCCTTTGCAAACTCAAGTATTGCAAGATTCTGAAATGCAACCTCTTTTCTCACAGCCCTTTAACCCTTAGTTTACACACAATAATAACCTACTTTGTTCTCTGAGTTGCCAGGTCTCAGATCCTGAAATTAATGGTGATAATTAACAGTGATTAATATCTACTAAGTGCTTGTTTGTTACAAGACACCATTCTAAACACTTTACATCATCTCATTTAGTTTTTTCAATAACTCTGGAAGACAGTACCACTAGCAACCCATTTTAAAGATGAGCAATACCCACAGAAAAATAAATAAATAAGTAAAGATGAGCAAACTGATGCAATCTCCTAACCACCCAGCTCTCTCTCACTGCATCTGTGTCC